ACTATTTACAATGACAAGTATGTTGTCACTTAACACCTATTAAAACTTATCATGACATGTATGTTGCCACTTGTCACTACTTGTCATGATAGGTGCATTACCACTTACCACTACCTTCCATAGCAAGTACATTGCCATTATTGGTGCATACCACTTTTAGGGTGTATCATTACTTGGCTCATGCCACTACCTGGTAGTTGATGGCTAGAACATTAGCGTGTTGCCATTGTTGGTGCATGCCCATATCGATTGTGGTGGTGGTATATGCTATTGTTAGGGCATACATTACTAATTCTTGTGTGTGCCACTAATGATAATTATTGGCTAATGTATAATCATAATATCCTTGAAGAGTTGTCATGGCTTCGTCATCCATGTCACATAAGTAAGTTCTCAAAAGGAAACCCATAATTAAATTTCTCTTGCCTAAGCACATTTAAATAGGGACAATAGGGAAGGTGAAACTTTATTTTCTTATATAGCATTAGAAAAGTCTTACGCTAAATGGCAAACATTATTAGTTATTGTACCATTATAGCATTGCGAGTCGAGCGAGTTAGTCCTAGCCAGTTATGTTCTTCCAAGCAAAGATCGATTATTGACTTCTTATATCGTCAATAATATGAAAAAATCAAAGAAAATTTTATTTTTCTTTAAATAATTTTTTAAGCACATCATTGATTTTCCCCAAAAAAGAAATTGTTAAGAATATTAACTTGTCAAAACATGTCATGGCCATAGCTTCTTGTATTAATTGAATTTGCTCAAAAAATTAACCAAGTATATGTGAAGAAATTGTTTGATAGGAAAGTATCCCTAAAGCAAGGATGCACATCTATAGATAATTGAAGCTTGTCAAAAGTAAGAATCTTATTAGACATGATTCTCAAGATCAATGTACGAGTGGTTTAGTCTTAAAGTTATTGAGGTCTTGAATGCCATTCTTTTTAGCAAATATTTAGACATTCATTTTGATATGGACAAATATATGTGGAGAGATAATAGTTCCTAAGCACTCTCTAGCTCATTTTTAAGTTTTTGATCCATCAATTGAAGAGGCAAAATCTTTTCTTGAACGCTCAACTTACAATGATGAGATTGATTTTCTTTTTTTATACTTGGATTTTTTTTTTAACTATTTAAACTTTGTCATTTGATGGATTCGTTGAGCTTGTACAAGCTAACATTTAATCTTGCTAGAGAAGTTTAGTTAGTAGGCTAAAGTCGATCTATCGTCCAAAAAATGAATGATTGAATATGAAAAGCTTATGGTTTAGGTAGTTTATAACTTTAAAAAATTAGTTATGGCATAACTAAAAACTACCAAGCCCTCGGAAAAAGTATGGCCGATCTTGAAGAACTCATGCGATTGTCTATCTTAGCCGGATAGATATGGCATGACCACGAGTAAACACTAATAAAAAATAACGACTATGCATGAAAAAGGCTTGTAATATGGTGAGCATCTAGTTTGGCTAGATAGACAATATATGACTATGGGTGACCAATTATAGAAAAGGATCAAACATGAAAAACTCACACCTTGTATATAACTTACTTAGATAGATATAACATTGTCATGAGAAAAAATAACTCAACATGAAAAGTTTATGACCTAACCATCACATAGATTTTTCGGATGGACTCATTGTTGCCATTAAAAAGAAAAACTGATCATGAGAAGCTTGTGACCTAGCCAGACTTCTAGTTTGACCAAATGAACATAGTGTTGCCATCCAAAAAGAAACCTAACTAAATATGAAAAGCTAATGCTCCGGACGATGAAATGACTTGATCGGATAGATATGGTTTTGCCATTAGAAAGAAAATTAATATGAAAATCTCACAATCGATCACCATGTAGTTGACTAGATAAACCTAATATTGTTATTAGAAAGAAAAAATAAGCATGAAAAACTTATGATCTACATAACGTATAGCTTGGTTAGATGGACATGGTTTTTTCATAAAAAAAAAAAAAGGACTTAGCATGAAGCTCATAGCCTAGTTAGTATACAGTTTGACTAGATGGAAATAACATTGCCACCAAAAAATAAAAAAAACTAAACCTAAATTGCTTATAACCTACTAATGCATAGCTTTGCAAGATGGATGTAGTATTACTATTAAAAAGAAAAAATAAGTATGAAAAACTCATGGCCTAGCCAACACATAACTTGACCAAGTGGACATAACGCTACCATAATAAAAGAAAGACCGAGTATAAAAAGCTAATAATTTGGATAATACATAGCTTAGTTAGATGGATAGGTGTTACAATTAGAAGAAAAAAAAACTAACTATAAAAATTCCACAACCTAACTAGCATGTAACATGGCGAGATGGACATAGTATTGTCATTAGAAAGAAAAAATTATTATGAAAAGCTCATGGCATGGCCAATGGCAACTTGGCTAGTTAGACATAGTATTGTCATCAAAATTAAAGATTAAACATGAAAAGCTCATCATTTGGTTAGTATATAAATTGGACATAAGACATAGCATTATCATTAAAAACAATAATTAACCATGAAATGATCATAGCACTGCCAACTTGCAGTTTGACCGGATGAATATGGTGTTGCCATTAAAAAAAAATATTAAACATAAAAATCTCATAGTCTAACTAGCATATAGCTTGGCCAAACAGGTAAGGCATTACCATTAGAAAGAAAAACCGAGAATGAAAAGCTCATGTATTGGTTAAAGCATAAATTGACTAACCTAGTGACTTCGAGAATGATTTATGGCTTTTTTTCTTTGTTAGTGATAGTCATATGTCTCCGAGTAAATATTGAGAAAAGACAATGGAGTTGTTTGTCCAAAGAATTCTTTTTAATAAGGTGGAAAAGGTGGTCAAGCCTAAATTCTTAAGATGTATCATATCTATTTATACATGTTCTAGATACACAACTTTATAGCTTCTTTCCCATCAAAGTCCTTTTAGATGTCTATGATATGGTCTTTGAATTGTTTAGCAAATTCCAATAGATTCTCTTTAAAACTTTGGTATTCTTTCCCCAAATCATAAACATTCAATCTCCCATTAGAGAAAAACTTCTCATAAATAATTTGCACATAATTGCTCACATCCGGATAAAGCCTGTGGTCGATTTACATATCGGATTTATGTCTCCTCGATCAAAGAATTAAAATTTTATTTTGGTTTTAGATCATCATCTAAGTCATTAATGCCTAAGGTATCTACAAACTTCATGAGATGTTCCTTGGCATTTCCTTACTTTTCATTGAAAACTTTGAACTTTGAACAAACATAATCTTTTGGGTAAAGTCTCCGGCTATATAGGTTGGATAGCAAAATTTAAAATCAAACTCGCCGATAAATTTTACGAGCTTTCTTTTGAAGAACTTTTTTAAGTACTCTTAGTAATATAGTAATGGATGTTTGGTAGAGGGATATCTTCCTTATTATTCAATTAAACAAGTGTTATTGGGTCATCTTTTACCTTAAAAGTTGATGGCATCACAATTTAAGGGACGAGTAGTACGTAGTAGTCCACTCGTAAAAAGTAGTTAGGTGATATTATTGAAGGCCTAGGCAAATACAATATTTTTATCCTAAAGTCTTTTGAAGAGTTGTTTCTCTTGTTGTAGTCTAAGTTGAGTATTTTAAAAAATCTTCGGGACTTTGATCATGACTCGAAGACTTGATTGTTTAACAACCGTGGTAAGGGCCTAAGTGGTAGGTCAAGGCAAGTCGCCTTCAGTAGTACCAATAAGTTGCCATTACCAACTCCGGGGTTTTGAGGATTTTTCTAGTCTTAATGTTAAACAAACTAGTGTTTTTCTACATTATTATTAAGATTGGGCAAGGTATCGTGATTATTATGGGTGGTGGAACTGGTTGCAAGATTAGTATTCTTCTTGATGGTCTTGAAAGGGTTTATTGTTCATTTAAAATTACTAACTATATAGTGGAGTTGTCAAAATATTTCCACAAGTCAACCAGCTAAAAAAAATGGATGCAAGTAGTAAGATGCATGAGAGGAAGAGCGAGCAACGCTAGTAAAATGCACTTTAGAGTGGTAGGCGGACAGATGAGTCAAAGTTTAAATAAATAGAATTTTAAGTGTTGTATGGATTGTGAGTATGAGAAATTTGAGACAAGAGGGAGAGAGAGAGAGAGAGAGAGAGAGAGGTTTTTTAAAGATAAAAAGGTTAGAACTCCTTCACAATGATGCGAGTTTGATGTTTATAGTAAAATAAGAACGTACCTTAACTACTAAAATCGTGCTATAACATTTATGTTTGGATATTTAGATTTGAATTTAAAAAAACTAAGTTCTTCTAGACTAAACTGCTTTAACTTCCTAACAAATGTTAAAAAAAGTAACAATTAGACATTCTTTTAATGAACCCTACTCCAAGTCCACCAAACTAATCTTCCTAATGCATCTCAAAGATAAGGTATGAACAATGGCCTTGCTAGAATACTTGTGTTCATTCTTGCATCATCTAAAGCTTTGTGATAGACAAGGTTCATTCTAAGTCAAATTCATTTATTGTACAGTTTAAATCCATAGCAAAACTAAGAAAAATAACATGAATGAATATATAATAAAATTAGCTAAATTACTTAATTAATTTTAAGAAAAATCGAGTATATTCAATGTTGGCTATGTTTTATAACTTAAGCAATCTGATTCTGGATTGGATCAGTCCGAATTGATTATCAGAGTTCTAAATGGTGAAAAACTGTAATCTATCGTTTCCAGTTTTATATATATATATTATACTATTTTGAAGATTTAAAGCTTTTCATCAATTTAATCAAGAAATTAAATTTTGCCTTCTTTTTTTTTTTTTTCCCTCAAAAACAGCAGAACTGCATACCGTCGAAAAGGTGCCCATTATTTCGGGAGGAGAAATTCATCATCATCTTTAATGACATAAAAAATACATATAACAATCAAGTGAAATTCATATTAGAAATACTAACTTAATAATTAATAGTTATAGGATTTTGTTTTTTCGCGAATGGGCTTTGTGCTACAAGAGGTAGTCATCCTTCCTCCTCAAATCGCCCAACCAATTTTTAGTTTTAAAAGTGAGATCTCCTAGTTAAAATGGGTTAGAGGTGCACTATCTTTTTAGTCATTAGAATTCAAACCTCATGATAGAAATAAAAAGTAAAATTCTCAAGATATTCATCTTGGCTTCGATATCTAGTAATGTCACTTTAATCTCTACATGCAAAATCTGATCATTGTTTTTCCAGGTGGGATCAGGGTATGCTAGGAGGATCACATTCGATCAAATGACACTTAATGGAGCGGGAAACCCTATCATAATCTACCAACATTACTGCAATGGAGCACGTTGCGCAGAGCAGGTAAACTGATTCCCATTCTGAATTTTATACTCCTTTGAAGTTCTGAGATAAATGAAGGTTAATGCTAATTGAAAAACTAATAATCTGCAGCCAAAGGAGGAAGTGGTAAGCGAGGTGACATTCACTGGTGTCCGAGGAACATCTTCTGTCGTGCAAGCAATTACGTTGGACTGTGCAGCAGTAGGTTGTAATAACATCAGATTGAATCAAGTTGATATTACCTCATCGGTGACTGGGAAGCAGATTACTGCATTTTGCAGAATTGCGAATGGAACGTCTGTCTCTACAAACACCTCCTGTACCTTGTCTCTCAAAGTAAGAAATTTCCCAGAATTTTTTATGCACAAATTTCCATGTAGTTAAGTTTTGGTTACATTTGGAAAATGTGAATTATTAAATTTTGTTGAACAAATAATTAACCCTATCCTCCATTTGTAAGATGTTTCTGCACTTCAAGAAATTGTTTCGTCAATCCAATATAATCTAATTTCATATAGCTGCTGATGTTTCTAACTATTGTTCGTCGAAGCATGGATTTGGTACACTGAAATTCTAATTGGGAGTGAAAAAGGGGTGCTCTGCCATCTAAACTTACAGGTTTTCTGCAAGTTTTAATTTCAAGATTTTATCAATAATATGCATTGCAATTTGTTAGTTACTGGTGTTTATGCAAGTATCAGACCTACTTTTTCACTTGACTTCTGAAAGTGAAATAGTAATAATATTAATGCACCAATTAAGTTTCATGTACTTACTGTTTCACTTCACTTCTGAAAATGTAAATTATTAAATTATTAGAAGTGTAAATTAGACCTGTTCAGACTCCTGACCCGTTCAGACTCTGACAAAACCAAAACCAATATCTGACCTCAAGAAGCACGGTTCATGACTAGCACTAACAGGAAAGAATAGACTGTTAAATAAACTCGTATGGCATTATAAACTTTCCATTAAGTTTGAATCATGCTGAGGACTCTCAGTATATTAAACTACAGCCTACAAATAATTCTGAAAGCATATGTACTCAATAAGTTTATTTGACCGAAAATAGTCATTTAGACTCTCTTAAAATTCTGAGTGTTAAATTATGATTCCCATACGAAACTCGCAATCCAACATTTCATAATTTTCGGAGTTCGAGTTTGTGTGGCCATTTACAAAGTAGATTGCATAATTAACATGTTTTAATTTTGTTCTTAGTTTAGTCCTTATCAGAATCCAACTAGATTTACTTCTTTATATACAACAGGTCTAAATTTGCTCAAATTCAGTGAATGCAGAAGGTTGGTAGTATCTAGTAACTGTGCAGGAGATAAGCATGAAAATAAATTATGATTTTGCTTGATGCACTAGATGGTAATTATGCTTTGTAGTATCTGGACCTTAAATATCCAGATAAGATTGTTTACTACACAGATTCCTGTCCTTATTAGCCAACCGGTCAAAATGTTGTTAAGAAATCCGCAGTGGGGTTGAATAAGACTGGGGTCTTCGTTGACCAAAAACAAGTTGGTTTAAGCAAAGATAGGGCCTTTGCATGCAATTGCAGGAAGTAATAGACATCTGCACTTTATAGGGGCTGAGAACAACTTGGACAGCAATATTTTTTGAACCTATCTTCAGATATAATGATGAAAAAACAGTTTTATTTGCATAATAATGCCACATGGTGAATTTGGCTTGACTGGGAAACTGAAATAGCCTAGAATCCAATGCCCAAGCTCCTTATCAGTTTAGATAATGCCAATGTTCACAAATAAAAATATAAAGAAAATGTGAGGTACATTAAGTTGTAATTAGACTAATCTTTTTTCTAAATTTGCTGTCACTGGCCAAAAAATAATCAACATTGATAAATTTCGTGGACATAATAAGATTTAGTTAGCTAAAATGATCTATGCCATGTCTTGCATACTGTCTTGAGTCTTATTTCTCAGACTGGATCAATAGCTTCAGAATCCAAAAAATGTAAACAAAATTTAAATGACAAGAATTATAGTTACAAGTGTATCTTTAGCCAAAATGGTCAGGATAAGTTTGAAAATAAAAAATGCAAATGCGGGTCATGAATAATACCAGAAACCTGGTGCAAATTCATGTCCAGTTTAGACTAATTATTGCATTAAAATGGGAGGAGGCAAACAAGGCAAGTCCACAACAGCACCAGTAATGTAACTTGTCACTTTCTTAATTCTGAAGAGCAGTGGGAGTTACAGAAAGCCTACTCTCAGTAAACACACGTGCATTGTCATCAGAATTTAACCAAGTAGAGATTAGTAAATGGAGGATGTGTGATGATTAAGGGAAAGAGTGATAACAGAGCGTGCAGCTTACATTCTTCTTCTGCTTGTGAAGTAAAGTCTCAGGCAGCCTTATTATAGATTTTCAGGAATTCTATGGAGGATTTTCTTAGGCACCTATGTTTCAGATGGACCTGCTCAATTCAGCTGATTCTCATTGACATTTGTGCGCCTGAACTTAAAAGGTTACGCAATTTGGAAAAAAAGTTGGGCTATATTAAGGCTGCTTTTTTTGTGAATTCAGACCATCATTTCTGTTCTCCATTACACACACACACACTCTCTCTCTCTCTCTATACTCTCACAATGGCTTCTATCACAGTTGATGAGCTTCATGCGTATCATGCCATTGATCGAGAGGTATTTTCTCGGTTGGTAATAAGTCTTAGGCGAGACCCTGCAGAATCTCTGCTGGTCATAGCTTTGTGGCTATGGCTGGAAGACAAGGGTTATCCTAATGTCATATCAAAAATGACGAGCCTGGAGAATCCTATGTTGAATTCCCTGGCTGATGAAGCGGCTCTATGCTTGAACTCTCTAGAATCCACTGTCCTTCCAATCGCACCTAAGCGTGGCACCCTCCCCCACACTGCCAGACTCCTTGGAAAGGAGATTTGTTTGGAAACGTTTCTCCAAAATAAATTCGCTGCGATAAGCGGGATAAAGAATTTTCTGAACACAATTTGTGCTCGTATTTTCACTGATATTTTGCAGTTTGTTTTAGCAGGTGCATCACAAGTGATTGCAAACCAACCACTTGTTGTTCCTGGTTTTCCTCATCCCGTATTTGGTGATGTCACTATACTGGCAAGGTCCGTTGACAATGATTTTCCTGTAGGAGGACTCTGGGGTTGGGACCCTACTCTTACTGTTCCTGAGGATGACAGGACAATGTTTCTTACTTTCTCAAGGGGTTTTCCTGTTACGAAAGAGGAAGTGACAGAACTTTTTACAAGTATCTGTGGTGATTGTGTTGTTAATGTTCAATTGCAGCAAAATTCTCAATCTAATGAACAACCTTTGTATGCTAAAATGGTTATGCGTACTGTCACGGCTGTTGATCAAGTCCTGAGTGGGCGACATGTAGCAAAATTCCGGATCAATGGCAAGCACATATGGGCTCGGAAGTATGAACGCAGGGAGTAGATCACATTAGGGAGCCTGATTCTATGATTGCATAGGATTCTTGTACACCCTTCATTGTTGAAGAATAAAATCTATGTTTGGCCACAGCTTGGTTTTCTATTGTGTGTTCTGTTCTTTCCTAAAACAATTTCCGATCGTGTGGCATTACTACTTGTGTCGGTAGCCATTATTAAGTGTTGCAATCAATTAATCATAGCTTATTTCAGCAAGAAAGGATTGTGCTTGAGCAAATGAACAGATTTTCTTTCTCTCAAGTGCGCATTGCTTCCTTTTCAGAAAGCAGCTTACCATCAAATAAAGAAAATTGTGACAATTAGCTGTTAATTGTTGTTCGATGCAATTGCTAATAAATTGAGTTAGGACAATTTTGATAGTTAAGCAGTAATAGTACTAGATGAACATAGTAGCTAATCATCGAGTCACGACAACTATGATACTTAACCATTACTCAGTCTTTGAGAATAACGGTTAATCACCGAGCAAGACAATCGTGATACTTAGCGATTAACACCAGATGAAAACAGCAGTTAAGACAATTTTGGTTGTTAGCCATTGATTAGTTGTTGAAAACAGTAGTTAGTCCGTGGTTGGTAAAACCATTAGCATCCTTTTTTTTGCCTATTTTGTGCAAGTACATTTAATGCTTGATAATTTCGGCCTAAATGTTCCATCCAGTCCTTGAATAGTTTCAAGGGCGAAAAATATCAGTTTTCCGAATAATTTCACTTTTCGGCATGGGTTCCTGTCTATGTTTTAGAAATGACGAAAAGAGGAAGCCGAGTCTGGGAAGAGAAGTTCTGAGCACAAGGTTTCCTTTCTTTCTTGTTGGTTGTTTTTTTTTTTACATTTGTAGTTATGTATCCTATTGAAAATCAATAAGAGCTGTATGCATTCTGGTACTGATTTGGACTGGACTCACAGAATAGAATTCATTTCCAGTAGATTATTGGAAAGACAAGTTGCTGAAAATATTATTTTGGTTATGCAGTTTATCAAAGAAAGGCTAGTCCTTGGAAAATTGATCGTTTGCATTTGTCAAATATGCATGGTAGTATGTACTGAACAAAGAGACTTGTTCAGCTTGCTACTGCCTGCTCCTATGCTCTTCTAAACCCTTTTGTTTTTCATTGCTCAGGCTGAAGGTCGTCCAGGCCTGATCCAATTCATGTACTAATCAGTCATTTTTTCTATTCTGCTGCTGCCACTTTCTTCATCTATTATCTAAGACCAATGTGCAAATGGGACACTTCTTGATGCTTTTAGGACTTGCTGCACTTTTAGCTGCAGAACTATCAAGTTTAGTTAGGCTTGTTCTGTCTTTTTTTCTCTCTTGCAGTCCAATGATTGGCTACTTGTCTTCTTAGTTTCTTGATAAATAACTTTACTTGTGCATAGAAATCAGGACTTACTATTTTGGTCAGAATCAATATCGATGGCCAATCTATAATACTGACATAACCATGGATAAAGTTAGAAACCAATTTTGTGGTTTCAGAAATGAATATCCGTAATCCATTTGTTATTATTAAAATATTAAGCTCATCATGCTCATGAAAATCCTATGTTATTGTCTGAAATCAGTTATCATCCTATATTGTCTGCTTCCTATGATGAATTCACACTGGTTATATATTTGATAAACGACACAAACATGTTCTTATAGAGCATAAAATTTGATCAAATGTGCATTCTAGAAAGTTTCTAAACAATTCTTCTTCCTGCTGAACTGATAAAACCTTAATAAAATAAATAAGCTCGAAATTGGAAGTAGTTTTGTTTATTCTTCTACTGGAAAGTATTTTGTCTGTACTAATTGTTGAACGAGCTTTTGTCTACATCAATTGTCAATTTTTCAGAAGAATGATAGCTGAGAAGATAAGGACTAATTGCATTTCTTGGGTCTTAAGTATCAAAACAACAGCCGGCCGCTCACAACTTTCCAAATGCATACAAAAAGGGGAATGTCTATTGTCCAATAATCCGAAACTCTCCTCAAACATCACTGTTTACAACTAGAAATTAACACTAAATTACAACAGAAAGTTCAATTGCTAGCAGAATCAAGTCACAACTTATATAAATGTACGAAAAATAACTAAGGACTTGGGGCTCTATTCTGTAGCCACAGCAATGGCTGTTTTTCTCTTCCTAATCTGCATCTTTCTCAATGAAGCAACTCTAAACCAAGCTTCTTTAGACCCCAACATAACGGAAACATCCTTCTCATACCCCTCGTTCAATGCTGATAGTTGTAATACTACCCTGCTATGTATGGGTTCAGTAACTGTTGGAGACAGCCGCTTAAAACTTACAAGAGAACCACTACCCGGCAATTTGACACAACCGGTGCTGACGGACCAGATTGGCAGGGTTCTATTCCATCAGCCTGTGTTTGCATGGCCTGCGTATATCACTACAACATTCACAATCAGAATTTTTGCCTATTCCAATTCAACCGTCTCTGGAGATGGAATGACATTTATTATGGCTCAGAATAATAGTCCTTCTCCACCTAATAGCAAAGGCTCATATCTTGGAATCATGGATAAGTCAACAGAAGGTGAATCTCCAATATAAACTGCAAGCATATATTAGGTTCTTAGCCATTTGTTGATGTTCAGCATCTGCATAATTTAGTCCATACCAAATCTAAATGTATCAGAAGGCAAATTCATGTAGCTCAATAATGATTGATCCTAATCAAGAACTTGATTCCTTAAAACATTTTCTCTGTAAAATGGATAGGTGGTGTTACTCGACAAATAGCTGTGGAGCTTGACACTTACGCGAATGAATTCGATCCAGATGGAAATCATATTGGCATTGATACAACAAGCATAACAAATCCAGTAGCAGCTAAGAGTCTCAACAGCACAGGCATTTACCTTACAAGTGGAAGAGATATAACGGTTCAAATTAATTATGACAGCTCCACAAAGCTGCTCCAAATATTTGTTGCATATGCAGGGAATCCACTAATGAGTTTCCTGAATCAGTCTATTGACATGTCAACATGGGTTCCGAATTCTGTTTATGTAGGCTTCACCGCTGCTACGGGGCCTTTCTCAGAGAATCATGAGGTTCTGAATTGGACTTTCCAATCAACTCCATTGGCAGACTTCAAGAAAGCTCTTGAGAGAGAACATAGAAAAAGGATCATCTTAATTGTTGGGATTGTCGCGGCAGGATTGGCGTTACTGACACTATGCACTTTACCACCAGCTCTAAGGGATTTAGGGAAGAGAAAAGAGAGGAGTAAAAGGAGAGCTGATATTGAAAGCCGGTCAATGAGAGCAGCAAATGCACCTAAAATGTTTACATATAGACAACTCTCAAAGGCTACTCGCAAATTCAGCAAAGAAAACCTGTTAGGAACTGGTGGATTTGGAAGTGTTTACAAAGGTGTCATTTCTTCAGATCCTCCTACGATCTTAGCAGTGAAAAAGATCTCAGCAACTTCAAGACAAGGTCAGCGCTGATTGTTTATTACTTTGAAATTTTCCAAATGATTCTGTAATCAGCAACATCAGTTAATTTTCAGTGCATTAACGAGCAGGTGAAAAGGAGTATTTGGCAGAAATATGCACCATAGGGCGTATGCGGCACAAGAACATAGTGCAGCTCCAAGGCTGGTGCCACAAGCGCGAGCAACTTCTATTAGTTTATGAATACATGCCCAACGGCAGCCTTGATTGCTACATCGGCAAGCGATTTCTTGACTGGAACACTAGGTACAAAATATTAACAGGCCTAGCATCAGCATTACTTTACCTCCATGAGCAGTGTGGCCATCCTATAATTCACCGAGACGTTAAGCCAAATAACGTAATGTTAGATTCCGATTTCAATGCCCATTTAGGTGATTTTGGCCTTGCAAGATTGCTACAAAGCAATTCTGCAGTTACAACGATGCTTGCTGGCACTCCAGGATACTTGGCTCCTGAAGTAGCCTACACTGGAAAGGTTACCCCAGAATCTGATGTCTACAGCTTCGGTATGGTTGTAATAGAAGTTGTGACAGGAAAACGGTCCAAGGGTATTTTCGAAGAAAATAGTTTACTAGATTACGTATGGAGTTTACATGGAAGAAATGCATTGCTTGAAGGTGTGGACAGAATGCTAAATGGCAAATGTGATCAGCAACAAGTGAAGAGGGCATTGCTTGTTGGAATTGCCTGCTTGCATCCTGACACCAAGGGTCGTCCAACTATAAGAAAAGTTGAGCAAATTTTCTTGAACCCCAACGAGCCTCTAATGGAGGTGCCAGAATCGCGGCCGAATGCAATTTTTGTGCCAATATCTTCCTCTGCTTCAACCATAAGGTCTAAAACTGATTTTGGGTCTAAAAGTGACAATGCCTTGTTGCAGTCAGCCCCTGAAGAGATGGTGCCTGATGAGATTACTGTCCACCATGAAGATTGTGACATATCAAATTGAGTTCTTGTGGATGTTGAAGGTAGATTTTCACTTCAATTCTTGGAAGTTTTTATTTTCATCTTCATTTTGTGCATGTTTTTAGCTTCAGATTGGGTCATGCATCTTGTACATACATATATAAGTGTGAAAAAAGAAACGCAGGAGATGGCAGGATGATACTGCATCAGTTAATGTTTGTTTGGAGTTAGCTTTTTTTCTATCTTTCCCATGTTCCAAACAAAGATGGGAAAGAGAATTATGTTCTTCATTATATACATGATTAATGTAATAATGTATGTATAGATCAATGGATTGAAATTTGTGGATAGATAACTTTACTAAGAAATGATTCTGCACAAAAAGAAAAGGTACATTTAGACTATGTAGATTTTACAATCTTTCATTTTGGTCCCTATAGATTAAAGTTTTGTAATATTAACACTTTATTCACGAAATTTCCAATATCACCATTTGTTGTTAAAGATTAGTTCGATAATGTTGTCGGCTTTTGTTAATGTTGTCGGCTTTTGTTATTGTTGTTGTGGCTCTCACTATTCGTGTGGTTGTGGCTCTAGTCGTGAGAAAGTGTTTGATAATGATAAATTATGATATGATTTTTCTACAAAAGTATGCAGATAGAGTAAATCTTTCTCAAATATATTTTTTGGAAACTCTTTAATGAAACAGATATTTTATTTTTTAAAAATAAACTAAAAATAAAATCTAAAAAAGAAAAAAAAATCTCTCTCAAATATACTTTTTAGGAAACTCCTCAATGAAAGAGATATTTTATTTAAATATATATATAGATATAAATCAACAGAAAAATATTAAAAAAATTCAAGAATGCGTACGGCGGGAGTCGAATCGAGGCAATTATCTTAACCGTTGGACTACAAACGCTACTTGATTCTCGCTCCCACATAGCATAGTATTAGATAATAAGATGGCATGTAAATCTACTCCTTTTCTTATTACCAAAATTTGATCCCCATCCCAATTCCATCAATTCCTTGAAATGATGAATATGATTTCTAAAATTACTAATTTAATCGTTAATAATTTATAAATTTAGATTTTAGTAAAGAAAAAACTATAACTTAAGTGTTTGATTTTATTTTTTCTGTTTAAATGTTCAATTGATAAATCTTTATATTTAAGTGTTTAATCTTTGGTTTATTTATTTGTTTATTTATTTGAGTCTCCGTAATCATTTGAAACTGAAAAATATTGATATTTTTTAGATGAATTTTTATTTTTTAATTTATAACTAACATGTGGTAAAAAGTGAATTCCACTTGAATTATTCTGAAAAAAAAAAATTGAGTACCTAACTTTAATGATTTTTCTGTGTTGAGTGCATAACTTTCAATTTTTTTTAATTATTATTTGAGTTTTCTCAATGCCAGAGATTGGAAATTTTGACATGATTGGAATTTACTTGATACACAAAAATCTTTAACCGACACAAGATAAAAAGTGGATTCCACTTAAATTTATTGAGAAAAATAAAAAATATAAAAAACTTTTATAAAAGAAAATAGGTGGCAAGAATTAAAAAAAAAAAACAAAATCAATTATTGTTAATTGAATGAACTTGAACTGTTTAGATGATTCAAGGTTAAAACTCTTGGATTGGGTAAAAAAAATATTTAGACGATGATATAATTGAAGTGTTCGACTAACAATAATTGATTTTTATTATTGTCAGCTGTTATAATTTTTTTATTTTCAAAAAATCTGAGTGGAACCTACTTTTTATATGTGTAAATTAAAGAACATCAAGTATTATGGATTTCAAAAAAATCAGTATTTTTTAATATTAAGTGATTGAGAAAACTCAAATGGAAAACAATCAAACATTAGGCTCTAAAAAAAATAATAATAATCAAATTTTAGGCCCTCAAAATGCAATTTTCTCTAAAAAAATTCAATTTTTATTTTGAATAATCCAAATAGGTTTTTTTTCTGCTTGTCGGATAAAAATTATCGTGTGACATTTTATTCTGGACACATTAATATTTTTCGGTCTCGGGTGATTGTAGATACTCAAACAGAAAAAAAAAAAATCAAAACTTGGATACTTAACTAAAAGGATTTACGAAAAGCACTTAAACATTTTTTTCTCAATAATCCAAGTGGAATCTACTTTTTTTTTATGTGGCAATTCATTTCAGACATTTCAATATTTTTCAGATTCAGGTGATTATAAGCATTCAAATATAATTTTAAAAAAAAATCAAAACTTGGACACAAACTTAGACACTTAAATAAAAGTTTTTCACTTAAGCACTCAAACTTTTTTTTTCTGAATAATCAAAGTCGAATCTACTTTTTTCCATATGACAGTTAAAAAAATCAAAGCACTTTTTTTAAAAAAATAAAAAATAAAACTTAGACACTTAAATGTGCAAAATGATTTACTAGTTAGCCACTGGAAAAAAAAAATCTGAATAAGCGAAGTAGAATTTACTTTTTGTCACGTGTAAGTTAAGAAAATAAAACATTAAAAAAAATCAAAATTTAAACACTTAAATCTGCCATGTGTTACTGTGTTAGTTAAAAAAAATCAAAACATAGACACTTACTTCAAATAAAATATGCTTTTTACCACGTGTTAATTAAAAAAAAAAAAATCAAAACTTACACACTTAAATCTGTCATGTGTCATTTAAAAGATAAAAATGTAAACACTTAAATTTGCTAAATCAAAACATTTAATAAATATATCAAAACAAACGTAGACACTTAAATCTACTAAAACCAAAAAAAAATTAAAAAAAAAATCAAAACTTAGACACTTCACTTGACTTAAAAATAATAAAAACATAGACAATTAAATTCTACGCTAAACTTCACTTTAAAAAAAAAATCAAAATATAAATCTATAAGCAAAAAATGAGTATGTCAAGAGTCAAATATAGGTCAATTAAAAAATCAAAACACAGACACTGAATCCAAATAAGATATTTATTTTTTTCGCATGTTGGGTAAAAAAAAATTTACACACTCAAATATATCACATGTCATTTAAAAAATTTAAACATTTTAAAAAATATATATATAAAAACAAACATAGACACTTAAATCTGCTAAACCAAAACACTTTTTTTTAAAAAAATAATAATAAATAAAACTTAGACACTTCGCTTGAAAAATTCAAAACCGAGACACTTAATTTAAATTCTACACGATGCGTTTGCCGGGAGTCGAACCCGGGTCTATTGCTTGGAAGGCAATTATCCTAACCGTTGGACTACAAACGCTTCGCTATGTTTGGACTGCATAATATGAATAAATATTAAACCTTCGGATAACAGGAATCTAAGCTGCCGCAAAGAAACGAGCAGACAAACAAGCAAAAGCCGGCTGTAGTGTTGGAAAGTTGAAAGCATGGTCCAAAGACACTGACATCGAAGGGGAAAGAGAAGCATATGATCACCAAATGGACAAAGTGAAACAATTTTCTTCAATAATCCAATCAAATTCTTTGGATTCTTTTTCATGTCTCTTTCTTCCTTTCAACATCACCAATATTCAATTCCATTCTCTAATCACCACCAGGTAACACCTCCTCCTCCTCTCTCTCACACACACTTAGAGACCCTTTTCTTAATTCTTTCTCTAGTTATCATTTTGCTGAAGAAAATGTTTTTCTGCTGTTTCTTTGAGGGAAAGACCAGAAAATTTTGTATAGTAGTTATCAATGTAGTATTTATTGTTTTCTTGAGGTAGTTGTCAATAAAAGGAAGCAAGTTTGATTACCAAGTAGAGAAAATGTGTTCCCCATATTGTGTAAATAAGAACCCTTTTGTTAGTTTTGTGATTTTGGTCTCTCTCTTGAGCTTTTGCCAAAGTTTTCATGCCTCTCCAATGGCATGCAATGTCTCTTTAAGAGATTCGTGTCCTGCTTCATTGTACTATGTTCCAAATACAATGAGAAGTCTTGATGAAACAGCTTCTTTATTCAATGTGGAAAATGATGTAGTGAACAGAACTATTGATGGTTTCTTGATTATGATAAATTGCAGCTGTCTGGCTGAGCACAGATTCTTCACTTGGCACATGGACTACAAAGTCCAAAAGGGAGATACATGGAAGAGTATTTCGTCGCAATTCGGGTTATTTGTCGTGGCAATGCCAGAAATGGTGTTGATTCCATCGGTAATTGTGACTCTTGATGTTTTATGTGGCTGTTCTAAAAATGCAGACGTGGTAACCTACAAGGTTCAAAATGGAGATACACTTTATACAATTTGTTCTCGGTTTAAAGCTAATGCAACCAAGACTGCCACATTGAATGGGCTGGAAAATCCAGAGATTATCCACGAGGGAGATATTTTATTTATCCCCACACCAGGTAAGAGAAGTGGTTTTTTCTTTTGTGATTGATATTAGTACAATGTAAGATCAAATTTTTGTTTGTTCTGTGAACATTTGCTGTTCTGATACTTCTTTCTCTCTGTCAAATATATTGTTAATAAGAATGACTCTCTATGTGTGCAACCCTTTTGAGACATGGAGTAAAATATAGCTTAAGATAATAGGGTTCTGTTGTTCCATCTGATAAATGTCAGTATCTTTGGTTGGTAATTTGAACATATATAAGAGCTGATCAAAGCCTAGTTAACCCATTACTCTCTGAATTACATATTTTGTGAATTAGAATTGCTCTTTGGTCACTGTTTAACAGCAAAAGGTTAGAGAATATGAGGTAAATTATTTTTAATATGATGAGAGAATGCTACTTCAGAACCTAATTACATCTCTTTGTTTTGCATGGATGTTTATGTGCAGCTGGATCTAATAATCTTACTGCCATTGATGGTCACAATGAAGGTCAGTCGTATACTTTAAAATGTCTAGATTAATTCAAGGTGAAGCATATCATGTTCTTTTTGTGGCTTTTCATTTTTCTCTTAGTGGCGAAGCCTTCAGATGTTGATATTTGTTTGTGCTATTAAGATGCTAGTCGTGAACCTGCTGCATGCTTTATTAATAAATAAGTGAAACCTCTCTGAGGAGAGATTATATTTACACATAGAACGCTGTCATTGTAAGTTCATTTTTGCTGCCTTACAGATATAAAGACCCAAAAAGCATCAAAAGCTCGAATTCGTATTGTTGTTGGAGCCATTTCAGCTGCTGTAGTTGTCATAATATTGTCAATCCTACTCGTATTTTGGAAAAACCATAAGAGGAAGCAAGCTCGACAACCAATAGCTTCCTCTCAGAGATTGAATTGCTTGCACTGTTATCTTGGATCTTGCCCTTCCCACAACAGTAAATACAGTTCATTGTGGTACAGTAGAGCCATGTTGAAGATTATCTATCTTTTCCACTATGAGATGATTGATTCATGAGATATTTTGTTGCAGAATCTGAAGAGAGCATGGTTTCCCGAATCAGTTCAGATAAAGCTACTGTTTTACCTTACAATGAAATACGTGATGCGACTTCCAACTTTAGTAGATCTTTAATAATTGGCCAAGGATCTTATGGATTAGTCTACCTTGGAAAATTACAAGGAACTGTAAGCAAGCCAATTTGCCTAAAATGATCCCCTAATGTTTGTGGAAGACTTACTCATTTGTATAGGAACATTCTCACCATATATGCTTCATTGCATATACATGTAGGATGTGGCCATCAAGCAGATGAAAGATACAAAGTCCAAAGAGTTCTTCTCAGAGTTAAATATTCTTTGTAAAGTTCATCACACAAACTTGGTAAGGTTCTTTTTGCTTCTATGATGAAAGTTTCCTTTTCTGTTTCTTCAATAATGCCTTTAACTTAGTTTGTCTGGAATGTCGAGATTCTGTTGTAGATGCACCATGCATACTTGTTGTCAATTCTATACATTCATTACCTTCTTTTTCCTATTTTCTTCTTACATTTAATTAGATCGAGCTTATTGGATATGCGGCTGGTGGAGAGTCCTTGTTTCTTGTATATGAATTAGCCCAAAATGGTGCATTGAGTGATCATCTGCACAGGCCTGCATTAAGAGGTTTGGAATTACTGCCCTTTTACAGCAAATGATGGAATTTCTTTATTACTTAAAAGTTTTACTTTCAATAACCCAAGGAAGACAATCTGTGCACCAGGTGTTAGCTCGGAGTGCTTTTTTATGGAATTGGTTTGTATCAACATCACTATGAGAACAATCATATTGATCACATGGTTGTTAGGTTGTGTATCCTGTCTTCAGATACGAAGCATTATTTGTATTACAGCTTATGATAGCAACAAGAGTTGAGTCAAATGCTTAAATTTTCTTTAAATGGTTTTTAAGTAGAGAAGGGCAACCATATCACTATGCTTCAACTCCAAATATTTGTCCTTCAGCTCCTTGCTCTTGTATCTCCATGTCACAATTGTGCTTCAACTTCATAATGCAATTCTTTAGCTTCATGCCTTTGTGCCTCGCCACTATATATTGATGCTTTAAATTCCCCATACCTTTGGATAGAACTTTATACGTCTACACTTTCAAGTTTTTAACCAACCCTTTGTTCTTCGATATCATATCTCCATGCCCGCACTCCATTTCTCTGTTCTTAACTCCATGCCTTTTTGTCTCGACTTCATACCTCTGTTCTCTGATTTCATTGTTTGGTGTCTCAACTTTATACTTTTTTTCAAGTTCAGATCTTTCTACTTTGATTACAATCTCCTATGCTTCAACTCTATGCATTTGTCCTTCCACTGCTAGACTTATGTGTTTTGATGCTACCTTTGTGCATCAACTCCATACCTTTTCTATATCAAGTTCATATATTTGTTCTCGAGGTTGCTCTTTGTTCTCTTATCTATCATAGGGAATATGAGGGTTTAGCAATGTTCTTTTGCCTTCAGTTGATCAAATTAGACAAAACTCTATACTTACTTGAATATGAATACTTCCTGATTGTGTGTGTGCACGCATGTGCTTGTACTTTCGCACATATGCATCTCAGAATTACTGCTTTCCTGCTAATTTGTTTGAAGGTTGGTATTAAAGCATGTAGTCATAATGCTTCACATTGCTTAAAAGTTAGTTATAAGCTTTGATGCATCTGCAGGTTATAAACCTCTCCCTTGGACCACACGAGTTCAGATTGCTCTTGATGCAGCTAAAGGTCTTGAGTACATACATGAACACACAAAACCTTACTATGTCCACAGAGATGTCAAGCCAAGCAATATTCTCTTAGACTCCAATTTCCGCGCAAAGGTAAGCATTATTGTAGCGTGTTTTATGGTGGTTGGCATTCATTCTAGATATTGAGCGCTTGGATAGAAAGAAAGAGATTCATTTCTGAAATTTTGAGCACTTGCACATATTTTTATCTACTTTTGTTTGGATTGTTTCCGCTATTGTAGTAGATCAAACTCAACAATTCTGGATGGTGTGATCTTATTGGAAGCCTATTAATGTTCAATTTCTGTCCAACAGATTGCAGATTTTGGCCTGGTAAAGTTATTAGAATATTCTCCAGATGCTGGAGGTGCCGCAGCATCTAGAATTGTTGGCACATTTGGTTACCTTGCACCTGAGTGTGTACTTATTTAAACTCTCTTTGATGGTTTTCGTCTGATCTTTTTTGTCATCATCTGTTCAATATACGTGATCCATTAAGAACCATAATTTCCCCTTGAAAACTAGGTATGTTCGAGATGGCCATGTGACCACAAAGAGCGATGTCTATTCCTTCGGTGTTGTTCTTATGGAATTACTTACTGGCCAACCAGCCTTAAGTAAGGATGCAAGTCCTGAAAATGATCAGCTCAGTGAACATCGTTCTCTGGTGCAATATGTGAGTATGCGTTATTTGTGCTACTCTGAAATCAGTTTTCCATAAGAACAAGAATCGGAAATTATTTCAGTCAAGGACACCAGTGGCCAGAGATTTTTGGGTGGTTTAGTATTTAATTTGCATATGCCATTTACCAGTTAATTTTGGTTTATACTCTTATGATCCAGATGCTGTCAGCATTGAATGATAACCAGGACTCTTTCGACCAGCTTGCTAAATGCGTTGATCCAAATCTGACCTCCTACAACAAAGATTCACTCTGTCAGGTGTGACTCATTTCCATTTTTTCTTATGCATTTGAAGTTATATGTTTGCGGGAAGAAGATTATTTTAACTATATCCCCAAATTTGTACCATTTAATTCTTTCATCCTTTCCTGCTGACTACCCTTAGAAGCTGCTCTAAATTGAGTTTTTTTCAGCTCTTTGATCCAAAGTTTTCTTTTACTTGACTTATTTCCTTGTTTTGACCTGCTCTAAGATGGCCCTCTTGTCCAAGGACTGTGTTGATGATAATTGGAAACAGCGTCCTGACATGAGTAGAGTTGTGTTACGCCTTTCACACATACTTTCAAGCTCCAAAGAGTCGGAGGAACGATAGGGGAACTTCCTTGCAGGGTAAATTTATAGCCAAGAAGCCACTTCTGTCTCTCTTGCCATATCCCATCACAAGGTATTTATCTGATTGATTGACAAGCACACATTCCGTTCGGTTTTATATCTGGAAGGCCTTTTCGAGGAGGTTCAAAACTTGATTTGTATAAAAGTTACTCGTTTTCCTTGGTCTCTTTTCCCTTTTGTTTGTTACCTATTCTTTTAAGACATCAAGAGATCCTACATTTTACAATGCATTCGACAATTTCCCTGGATTGCTCGAAGTAATTAAGGAAGAATTAACTTTCCAAGATATATATATATTTTGGTTATTATGTATGTTAGGATTTAAAGAAAGACCAGTTAAATTCTGTTTTTTCTTTTTCTTTTTTTTTTTGGAAAGTTAACATGGGAACCTAGCTAGATCCCATTTCTTTTCATAGGTATTATCTTCAGTATTTTCTGTTGTCCCATACATTGTCCTTTCAGAAGCAATCTGGTATTCTTGTTCGTTTCAAGCTTGATAGAGGTTGGTGGGTCGGTGGACTTGATGATCGCATTAGGGCTGGTTGTTAAAATGTTGCTAATTTGGGTTATTAATCCTTTTTGGGCTTCCATTTTTACCTAGACCTGTTTAAATCCTGGCCCAATAGTCCAAGACCTATTCTTTCGCCTTTTGGAACTTTCTTAGTTACTAGTTTTTCCTTAAAGAAGAAAGAAAGAAAAAGAAACAGAAATCATCTGCGTACATACAGATGAATGTAACCTTAAAAAGAACAAAAAGCATTTATACCTTTGGTTCAACTTGTGGAGTAGCATGTGGACTCTGTAAGATCAGGAGTTTCGTCAGAACACCATACCCCCTCCCCAAGCCTCGCTAACAAAAAAAAATTACAATTTTTTTGAAAAAAATTGATTTGACGGTAAAGATATTTTCATAACTTTTTTTCCACTATGATTTTAAACGTACATTCACTCAATCGCTATGATGTATTTAGATAAATTTAATAAAAAGATAAAATAATTTTTTTCTTGAAATTAAATAGATATTATTCGGCTTGCACAAGTATTGTTGGAATATTTATTACAGAGAAATATAATTCTTGAGACTTGACTTGGTGCAAGGACCGAGTTAGAAAATCCGAATATATTTAGATGAAACAATTATTTAAGCTTATATTAAAAGTGGATTTCAAAGTGACATATTGAGAAATAGATAGGCTTATTATACCACAAAAAATCATAAATTTTATATGTTTTAAGTATACTAGCATGTTCACAAACTAAAATTATATTAATCATACTAGCAAGTATTTTTTTCCACTAAAATTCTATAAATATCTGACGTGGCAAGGGATTTTAGTTTTTTTTGTCAATATTTATTTTTCTCCTGTCATGTTAGGTGTTTACAAAATTTCAATAGGAAAAATGGCACGGCTACTATGGTTAATAGAAATTTAATTGATGTAGTTTATGTCTAATATTGAAAGAACGTGATAATATAATTAAAAAGTGTGAAGTTTGTGATTTTTTGTATAATAAGCCTAAGAAATAAGGTGTAAGTTTCTTTTTTTACTGTAAAGGATCATTATGCTCAAGAAAATCAAGACTTCTTTGAAACGATCACTAAAGTTAAGAGACCTTTTTTGAAATTTAAAGGGGTGGGTTGCTGTCTCCACCTAGCTCCCTAGTTCGGTCCAAGTTTGGGTGGCTAATGGATTTAACTTCTTTTGATTCCTATTCATAAAATAATTTTCCGTTAATTTAGTAGTTTAAAATGAATATTTTATATGAAACTAGACTAATAAACAACTAAATATCAATATATAAAAGCCAGTTTGAAAATATTATATTCTATAAAATCAAATTATACAGCAAGAGAAGTTTCTCTATTGTCTCTTAAATTCTCTTTAGCACGTTTTTTTAATAAGCTCAATTGCTTCTTGTCTATGATAAACATTAATAAATGATACTTGAAAAAAAACCAAAAAAAAAGCTTGTAATCTCATGATCAGAACAAGAGCGTTTGAAGAAAATGGCCGCTAGCTATCAATTTTTGCGACATCGACAGGATGTAGAGAAGGCATCAACACGAATATGCTGAGAGGAAATTTGCAGATAGAGAGAGAGAGAGAGAGAGACAGAGAGAGACAAAGACCAAGAAAAATTGAAAGGGACAAAAGCCCCCTTCACAACTTGCAAGTTACAAGTCAGTTTCCCAAAATCATGGGAAAATCACATTTTGGAGGACCTTTTAAGTACATTTGTTGATGCCTATGCACTTCAATAATAATAATAATAATGCAACCATACGAAGGTAGGTGGCATTATACGAATTGGTAGTAATTTAATCCTTATGGTTTCTTAAAAGGTTTTTCGCACGTGCAAACCATGTACACTTCTGATTTTTTTTTAAAGGAAACTCTTTTTTTTTTAATTTAATTGAGTTAGTCTACTTTTCAAAACTTTTTGTTTTAGATTTTTTTTTATAATTCTATCGATAAGTGATCAATACTCTTTGAGATTTAAAAGTATCGATTATTGATTGATAATATTAAAATAAAAAATCTAAAATAAAAAAATTTGATACTATCAATCAAGCTAAAAAAAAAAGATCTTAATAAAAAAAAAGAAGAAAACAGGGTTTTAATGTAGGGAAGACTCGTTTATTAAAACTAATGAATTAATCCTTATAGTGTCAAAGCCAATCAAATAGTTCCTTCATTAATATCGACCATCCTCGATTAGTAGGCTTTTATCTTAGTGCCTTCTTTTCTAATCAAATTTTCTCATCTTACCCACTTGTTTTCTTTTTCTATTTTTTAAAAGATAAAAATACCCAAAAAAAAAAATGAAAATTGACAAAAGAATTGAGATATAAATGGATTGAAGAGTGTGAGGTTAAATAGATAATTTATAAAACAACAAGGACTAATTAATTAGTTTCCATAAAATACAAGAACTAAGTTATAATTAACCCGACCATATCACTCTTGTTATTTTCCAAACTGCTCCTAGCCTCCTAAAAAGCAGAATGCAATAATGTCCCCCGACAACTTCCAAATTTTCCATTCAATATAATAGGTGCAAAGGGATATCCCAGTAATTAAGAAGGGAAAGTACTGACAATTTGCTGGTATATATTTATGATCATCTCAACTTACTTGCAAAAAAAAAAAAAAAAAACATGGCAATTTTGCAATCGAGTTTGAATTGGAACACAGGACTTTGCATATGTAGGAAGTTTGCATTTTGCAGGAATCTATACACATCCTTTTTTTATTTTTTGTCACAAATAAAACCTTATAGTTCGCAATAAGTGGCTAAACAATTAAAAAATAACTTTATTAGTTAGTAATTAATCGATAGAGAAAGAGAATCGTATTACTATAATGATTGAATTGCCTCCCACTTAAAAAAAGAGAGGCCGTTTTAACCTTATCTCTTAACGAGGTTTTTTTTAACTCGAATATTCTAAAAAAAAAAAAAAAAAACTCAATTCATGATTTCTTACAAGTGCATGTAGTTATAATGTTTCTCATATAAACTATATTTGCAAATACCAGCATGCAATTTGCAAAAAAAAAAAAAAAAAAAAGGCATTACCTTTACAATTTTTTTTTCATAAATTAGACCAATGGCATTCTAAAAATAAATAAAAAAATAAAAAAACTTTCAGATCAAGTGTTGTGATACATTTTTACCAAAGTTATTTGAACAACAACGATATCTTCTAACCAATATTTTTCACATATCAAAATTAAATTTCTGATTAATCGTATCAAACATATCTCTAACTTATGACTTTATACGTTCATAGTAAAAAAAAAAAAAAATCGTTGAGACCTTTCTCTAGGGTTAGTAAATAGCACTGATTGCATCGTTAATGAAGTAAAACATAGACCATTCAATGTCAACAAAATGTCATTAAATGGTAAAGTAACCAACGCCTCTCATTCTCTCAAAAGCAAAGAAAGCCGTTCACATAGCACTTTAAAGTTCTTTTTTTGTGCTTTATTAAGGTCAGATATTATTATAAATTATATTTTATAATTTTATTTATTAGTTTAAGTTTTTAAGTAAGATGATATTTTAACATATTATCGGAACTTGATTGACCAAAAGGTCCCGAGTGTAAGTTTCACTATTCTCAATTTCTTAAATATTAAGCACAAGGTAATATAAATTTATGTAAATTTCAAACTCAAATGTTAAGGCTTTAGGTGAGATGGTGCCACAGGACTTTCAAGTTTCAACTTAAGAAACTTTTTATTCAAATCCTAAAACAAATACAATATAAAGTTGAAAAATATTTGTAGCTTGAATTTTAGAGTTGAAGGCAATATAAATCTCAGTAACTTTCAAGTTCAAATGTTAAAGCTTTAGGTGAAATGGTGGCACGGGACTTTCAAGCTTCAACCTTAAGAAATTTTTTATTCAACTCCTAAAATAAATACAGTACTTCAAGTTGGGAAATATTTATAACTTGAATTTTTGAGTTCAAGACTTGTAATAAATCTTGTGAAAACATAATTTCCGTTACTTTATTCAAGGAAGACTGATAATTAATAACACAGAAATTAATGTGGAGCGTGGCGTAGCAGAATTGACAAGGCACGGGTTCATGTATATTAAGTTTTTCAGTTTTAATTCTCCAAACAGAGAAGGGTTGCTACTTGCTAGGTTATTTTTTGCCAGTTTATTGTCTGGCTCTCTACCAATATTCGTGTACACGTTCGTATTTTATTTAAGAATGAATGATACTTAAAAAAGAATTATGACTTACTTTCAACCTGTCAATCTAGTCGAAATAGTCCCTAGACGGCCGATTAGGAGCATCTATATCCATCAGGCTATTAACCGTTGGGTTTATACCTACCTCTCACCAAACAAAAAGATAGATAGAATACTTATTAAATAAAGGGATTTTATTTATTCCAAAATCTCATAATATTTGATTTTTTTTTTCGAAATCTAAGTTTTTTTCTAATTCAATTTAAAATTTTA